AGCTTTTTTAGGCCTTAGCGAAATTTTGAAAAAATATGATCGAGCGTCCAACTCCTCGGGCATTGCCTTTGACTACAATCGGCGCTTGGGGCCGTTCAGGTTTTTTTGGGCCTTAGCCAAATTTTGAAAATATGTGATCAGGTGTCAAGCTCAATTATCAGGGGGCACTCCTTACAATCCCATCCTTTTTGGCCCAAATAAAAGGAATGCGGCCATTACCTTTTATTGCGATTGGCACTTAGGCTGTTCGGCTTTTTGGGCCTTAGCAAAATTTTGAAAAAATATGATCGAGCGTCCGGCTCCTCGGGCCATTGCCTTTGATTGCGATCGGCGCTTGGGGCCGTTCAGGTTTTTTGGGCCTTAGCTAAATTTTGAAAATATGTGATCGGGTGTCAGGTCAATTATCAGGGGGCACTCCTTACAATCCCATCCTTTTTGGCCCAAATAAAGGGAATGCGGCCCAAGCCCAAAAAAAAAAAAGAAAGCCGAACGGCTCCAAGCACCGATCGCAATCTAGCGACATCTTATTAGGGGGTGCTCCTTGACACTAACTAGTACTTGAATCTGAGTTTATTAACTACTTTTTAGTTTCATTTCTTTTCGATGTGGGACATGTTAAGCATGAAGGGGACTTCTTTATTAGGGCTATCTGTTGCCAATAGTATAAAGAGGAATTGAAGTTACAACTTATTGAAAATACCTCTTGAGGTGGATTACATTTCTAGGCTTGTCCACTTCGGTTTCATTCAAATATTGGAGTTTGTAGCCCCTTTGCCAATTACATCTATAACTCTGAATGGTCCCTCCCAGTTTGCTCAAGCTTTCCCGCGTGTTTCTCCACTTTTCTCAAGACAAGGCTACCGGGATTGAAACTCTAGTGCCTCACCTTTTCGTTGTAGCTGTTCACCAGTCTATGTTGATATGCCGCCAGTCTGATTGATGCTGCTTCTCTCTTTTCTTCCAAGAGGTCCAGATTTTGTTCCAGTAGCTGATTATTATGATCTGGGTTCCAAACCAAGCTCCAAACGATTGGTGCCACTATCTCAGTGGGGATTACAGCCTCTGATCCATAGGCCAATGTGAAGAGGCTTTCACCCCTTGGACGCCTGGGAGTTGTCCGATAGGCCTATAAAACGTGGGGAGGTTCCTCCAGCCATTTTCCCAACTGAGTTGACTTCTCCAATTTTACGCAATTTATGAGCTTTGCTTGAGCTGTATTCTGTAGGAATTCTTTGGCTCCTTATCCTCTTCTGGACGGCCATGGATCATATTGATGACACGAACAGGTTCATTATCTGATGGTGCTTTCGGTGCAAGCCTAGGCCGTTTGGATTGCTTTTGATTAACTAGTTTGGACAGATATTCGGTGAGTTCTCCTTTCGTCAGTAGGGTTTTTACTTGCCTTCTCAAGCTCTTCCAATCATTAGTTAAATGATTGAAATCGTTGTGAAAGGCACAAATTTTGTTCCAGTAGCTGATTATTATGATCTGGGTTCCAAACCAAGCTCCAAACGGTTGGTGCCACTATCTCAGTGGGGATTACAGCCTCTAATCCATAGGCCAATGTGAAAAGGCTTTCACCCCTTGGACGCCTGGGACTTGTCCGATAGGCCTATAGAACGTGGGGAAGTTCCTCCAGCCATTTTCCCAACTGAGTTGACTTCTCCAATTCTACAAATTTATGAGCTTTGCTTGAGCTGTATTCTGTAGGAATTCTTTGGCTCCTTATCCTTTTCTGGATGGCCATGGATCATATTGATGACACGAACAGGTTGTTTATCTGATGATGCTTTCGGTGCAAGCCTAGGCCGTTTGGATTGCTTTTGATTGACTAGTTTGGACAGATATTCGGTGAGTTCTCCTTTCGTCAGTAGGGTTTCTACTTGCCTTCTCAAGCTCTTCCAATCATTAGTTAAATGACCGAAATCGTTGTGAAAGGCACAGTGCTTGCTCTGATCCCTTTGATCCATCGGTTGCCTTATGGGAGAAAGGATTTGGAAAAACTTTCTGCCCTTGTTTTCCTGGTATAATCTTGCTAGCGTGGTCCTGAGTGGGGTCACCTTTTCAGCCACCCGTGAACTTTTCTCTGGGGCTCTGCTTTTGAAGCTCGGTGGTTCCCATTGAGCTTTTTGGATGTTCACCCGTTCTCTGGGACAGCCCTCCATTGTGACCAGTGTCGCCCTATGCTACCTGTAGGCCTCGCTTTCTTCGAGCCTTATGTAATTATGGACCCCTGCGTTTAGCTCTGACATGTCGACATGGTCTTTTTGATCAAAGAGTCATTAAACCTGGTTTCTTGGATCATCGCTATCTTGAATGCTTCCACAGCAGTGACTTGGTTGCAATCGGAGATTCTTGAGGACTCCATGTTGAATCTGGTCAGGAAATCTTGAAGTTTTTCTCCTTTCATTTGTCATATGGTAAACAGGCTGGATATGGTTTTTTCAGTTTTTTATTCCCACAATGTTGTGCTAGGAAAGCTTTGCATAGCGTCTTGAAGTCCGAGATTGATTTATGAGGTCTATTTTTGAACCACTCCAGTGCTACTCCCTTTAAGCTGGATGTGAATATCTTGCATAAGAACAGATCATTTCGTGCATCCAAAGTCATTTCCTGGCTGTAGTGGTCCAGATGCTTCATCAGATCTCTGGTCTTGTCAAACTTAATAAATTTCGACATGACGAACTTTTTTGGTCTCTTGACTAGTTCTATCTCATCGGTAAAGGGGGTTTTAATTATGGAGGCTATGAATTCTCTGGACATGTCTTCGGGCGTTTGGGCCTTCAATCCCTTGATCTGCGCATCCACTTTTCTCCTGAAACTTGCCAGGATATCGTTGTTAGTCAAATGTTGAAAATAACCATCTGGAATCAAAGTGATGCGCTTCTCGGATTCGGCGGGATCTTCAAAGCCTTGTGTTCGTGTCTGCCTCGGTATTCCTAATGTAAATTCTGCCACTATTTGGGATTGATTGGCCGCGTCATTCGCATTTTGTTCGGGCATGACTCGAAGTGCGTTAGAATTTTGTGAAGGAATCTTTGGCCGCTAAAGGTTGTTATTGTCCCTTTGAGTTGTCGGGACTGGTGGTACGTTCAGCTGTTCATTCCGTCACTCGGGTTGTTGATCTTGAGGATTCTGCTGATTAGCAGCCGGCGGGGGAGGAGGCATGTTGGCCCGCTGAACAGCAGTCCTGAGCTCCTTGTTCTCTTGTCGTAAGGCATTGATTTGAGTGGCACTTGCCTCATTAGCTTGCCTTAAGGTATTGATCTACTAGGCACTGGCTTCGTTCGCTTGACGCATGGTATTGAATTGTTCCTGCATCTCTTCGCACATTTTTTTTGTATGATTTCTAGCTGCTGCATTTGAACGGCGTCTGATCCCGTTGCCATCCCGGAACGATGTCGCATGAATCAAAGAACTCAACAATGGGGGTGAGAGGCTTTTAGTCCCCTTCCCACAGACGGCGCCAAAGTGTAGGTGTATAAAATTTCAGCCCGAATGATTCGACCAGAAATATCAACACTTAATCAAGAAAATATGCAAACTGTTAAATAGAGTATTGAGAAAGAAATCAAGGAAAAGCAAAGGCTAATTACAACGGGAATCAGATGATCTTCTTTGGGTCTTGCCCTTTGTATTTATATTTGTTATAGTTAGGATTTTTTGGGGCCGTTACGGACCGTTACATATATGGCCTTAAATTTTCATAATTGTACATCATTTACTTTTGGGCATTGTTGCCAGCTGCATATGGTTGTAACCTAAAGCTTGGCTTGTCGGAATGGATCTTAATCCTTGGGCCGCTTCGGGTGTTGGGCTTTATCTTGCTGGACCTTTATGCAATGGGCTTCTTCCTCTGGACTGTGTATATGATTGGGCCTCTTTGTTATACTCTGCCGACATGTGACATTTCATGAGTGGTGGGAAAATTTCCCTCCACAAATTGGTTAGGTGAAATTTTACTTTTGTTAAAAGAGCTCCTTATATGTCTTATGGGTATGTCTTATCCTAAGCTCTTCAAGATTGTGATCGTCAGACATGACATGATTGTCAATTGTTATCATCTTGATAGTGGAGGCCTGACATGGGATGTGGAGTTTTTGAGGCCCTTCCAGGATTAGGAGCTGGAGGACATCTTTGATTTTCTGGCAGAGCTTTATCGTGAGAGGGTAGAGGGTACGGGGACTCATGAGTGGATGTGGATCCCCTCTTCTCATGGGAGATTCATGGTGAGTTCTTTCTACTTGAGAGTTGAGACTGGTGAGCGCTCAGCTCTTCCTTTCCCATGGAGGTCATGTGGCACACGAAGGCACCCCTGAAGGTGGCTTTTTATTGCTTGTATGGATCATGGCGGCTCTGGGCCAGATTCTTAAATAAACAACCTGAGGAGGAGGGGGTTAGACTATAGTGAACCAATGCAACATGTGCAAGAGAGACAAGGAGTCAGTGGATCATCTCCTTCTTCATTACCAGGTGGCTCGTCATTGAAGGGATGTGATCTTTGGCCTTTTCAGGTCTGGTGGGTTTGTGGATACTTGAGTGATTAGGGGCCCTATTTGGCCCTTGTGTAGTCTTCGGGATGTGCTCCCCTCTTTAGCGCTATCTATAATACTTATCAAAAAAAAAATGTTCAAGTTCATGCTAATTTGTAAAACTCAATTTATTCTCTAATTTACAAATTACAATTACTGTCGTGATGGTCAATTATGACATTAAGGTAGTTTGTATAATTGATTATTTTGAGTGATATTTATTGTCGAATGATTATTTTTTTATTCCTATAATTATAACCATGAAAAAAAGATTACTTTAAGATATTGAGGGTAACTTGTAAACTAAACAATTTTCAGACTTAAATGTTTTACACTTGTCAAGCAGTTCTAATAAATTCAGACAATAACAAACAAGCTTTAACATATTTCAGTACTTACTTTTCAGTTTTAAAAACAACAAATAAATTTTGACAGCCTCAAAAAGCAGATCATAAAATTAATACTTACCATTCTGACAACCAAAAATTATCCAAGGTGAAGGTGCAATAACATCAGATGTCGTAGGATCTGTGTGTGTGGATGAACAAAGAGTCCAGTCTATGGAATTTATGTGATGTGCCCTACTGGAACAGCTTAACCTGTGCACAACAGAGGATATAAGCAGAACCAGAAAAGGATCCCAAATTTCAAGATATCACATCAGCACCATGAATTTAAATGCTAAATTCATTTTTAGCATAGTTGCTTTTCAGCAAAAAGATACAGAATGATTCCAAAAAAACTGAGAATAAGAAAAGGTATAAATTAGGAGTTACATCTTTGGTCACATAAACATTCTAGACATAACTAAAATACCTCAAAGATCGCCCTTCACTCTTGTGACAACCCACTGCATCTTCTCCTGGATCCAGGTCCTCCTGCATAAATATAAAATAATTAGTCTCTTAAGCGTTACAGTACTGATGCAGATTAAGAAAACCGAGCAGTATGAAACCTTTAAAGCTGCTTCCTGAAAGGAATGTATCCATCTTGCAGCTTCTTCAGGACAGCTTGCTCCCAACTGTTTAAGTTTTTCATGAATTATGCACGTAGATTTCATCATGAAAAGTACAATTTTGACAAGAGAGTCTCCACACCTTTAATTGATCATTGTGATTAGAAGTATTATAAAGTGTGAAAATAAAAAATACCTGCAAGTGATATAAAAGTGTCAGTACAATCTCAAAGAAAAGTAAACATATTATTTCAACAAAATAATTAGAAAAACAAAAACAGATAAAACATCACTGCCCTAGGGGGTAAAAAATAAAATTTGGTGCAACATTCATACTTTTCTCTGAATGCTCTCTCTCCCATTGTCCATCACCCGAATGCAGGAATCTATGATTGCACTCCTGTTAGGATCCTGGCATACAAGTCAACATTTTAAGTTAACACCGGATACTTTTGGTACATGTGTAAAATGCAGGAGAGAGATAAATAGAGAGGGAGAGAGAGAGAGCAAAGCTGATAATATGAAAGTGCATTAACAATTATAAAATAGAGCCTTAATTTACTTAAAAGATTATTCTGTACTATGGACATTACTAATCCACAATGCAAAAACACTTCATTAACCATTTTAGCTACCTGCTAATATATTGGATCCACGTTTTGACATAATTCCACTCACTTTCTAATTCATGTGGCTACATCTTAATAACAGCACAAATGTTTCTGTGTGCCTTTAAACTTGGAACATTGAGCAAAGCAATCTATGAACCACTTATAAAATTAAAAATTAAAAAAAGAAAAAGAAGAAGCAATCTATGAATCAGTTTATGCCTAACATGCCACACCCACACATTAAATATCTTGATATTCTGATATGTGTTTGTGCATGTATATCAATGACAATAAAAAATATTCATGAAGAAACCTTCAAGCCTATGTGCATGCAGAAATACGCAGAAAATACAGATTACAACAGAAAAGCATGAGCTTATTAATTCCGCCAAGAGCAATGAGCTCCTCCAATCAACATCTGCATCTGAAGATAACTATTTCCAGGCAAATTAAGGTTAAGCTTAGCAGTTAGAACACAAACTTCTCAACTTTGAAAATTCTTTTTCCTGTTTCCAAATGCCACAAAAACACAAACAGAACTATTTGCCAAACACCTCTGTTCCCCTCATTAATGGCCTATACAGCCACTCAACATAAAACAATAAGTCCAAGCTGTTTGTGATCAAAGTTCACAAGATCACTAGACACTACCCTACAATGAAGAAATAATTATCCGATGATTTTGAAGCCTCTGACCAAATGACACACATAAATTATAAATACTGCAGTACTATGAGATGTATTCTTTCGATATATATAACACATACACCTATGTCATAAAGTCGTAATTAGAACTTGACCCTTGCACCTCTTACGCTAGATTGATTGCACCGGCAAAGGATGGAGCCACTGGAAACATCTATGAAGAATTGTCCCTTGAGCTTTCAGCAATAAAGAAGAAAAAGATGAGTGACAAGGGCGTTGGGATTAGGGATGGAAGAGGGGGGCTTAGAATGATCATATCATAAATTCAAGCTGCCATACTACATCAACCACAATATAAGAAAAACTGAAAATCTATATGTTTGTACACTACAGGAAGCATGAAACAAAACTGTAGATCATGGAAAAGAATATTGTGCTGGAGTATTCAAGGCATGTGAAAAATGGTTTTTTAAAACTTCAACCAAATTCAAATTTCTGCATCCAAAAAATCTGCAAGCAAGTTGTTTTACAAAAAAAAAGAAAAAAAAGAACAAAAAGAAAAAAAAAACAACTAAAAGCAGAATCCAACAAGTAGCATATCTCAATTTCCACTAGCATATCTTAGTTGTTGACCTTATCAAACAAGCAAATATTAAGCCTGTTGATGCCTGTAAGCTTGTTGATGATTTATGTTAGTGGGGATCTCACATATTAGTGGTGCTTTAATACTACTGTAGTTATCAAAGAAATGACACCCAATACACAAAGGACGCCTCTAACAAACTTTAATCAGAAAGAAGAACACCCCCAAATTTCAAAATAAAGACCCTAAATAGTTTCTTGACATTCTTGTACATCACCCTGAACAGAATGTACTGACTCCACAATAATGATAAAAAATCATTAACGAATTCAAATTGAATTAACCTAAAATTAATTACCTGATATTATAAATCATGGTACAGGGGAAAACAAACTGAGAAGAAACTAAAGATGTTTTACACAAAGTGTCACAGACAGAGAAGCACATACATAACACATATGTATGTACGCAAATATGCATATAAACCCTAATTAAAAATTAGGATGACTAATTTCATCTATTCAAATCTATGATCCTATATTCTATTCCTACACCATCCTTTAAACAAAAATGAAACAATGTTTATTATTAAAAATAGTCATGACATATAAATAAAAAACAGAAACCCACTAACAAAGTTAATTTTACAAAAATCATCATAATAAAATAATGATGAAAAACAACTCGCCCAATAATATGAGATTTTGGGTATCAACCAAAATTTCAACTGAGCAGCGGCACTAGAATTGGACAATAAATACATACTACACACAAGTGAACAGAGACGCAAATATATGATATATATATACACACACACATATATAGAGAATAAAGGGAAACCTCCTCCTTTGAAACGGGTATTGATTTGAAGCTTTTGAGATGGTGATCCTGAAGAACATAGTAGCGTTTTCGCGAATATTGCAAACCAATTCGATTGGAACGAACGAGATACAACCATCCTTCCATTCTACCATCATTTTGCGAGACACCCATTTCTTTCAGAAATCCGCAGACACCAACTCTTTTTTGGTTCCTCTTGAGTTCTCTCATCAAAAGTGGAAACCCATTGCAGATGTAAATATATGTTACGTGTGTGTATATGTGTGTGAATCTTGTGTTCAGTATTCAGTAGTTAACCAACCAAGAATTCAAGAAATGAGAGGACCCTCTGATCCCTACTAAGGGGAATCAGAGAATCACTTCTTACAAGAAATGAAACTCTGCTGGTGACGCGCTTTCTATCTCTCTCTCCCCCCTCTTTCTCTCTCTCTCTCTCCCTGTGCCTCGATTTGGTGCGTAACTGCATATGTGATGAGACAAAAGATTGCCGGGCAAATAATACAAATGTCGAATGACTTTATTGCCCTCGATTTTAGAGAGTACAGTGTGCCAGACCAATTGACAATTGCTTCCCCTTTAAACAAAAACAAAAAAAATAATAATAATAATTGAAAAAAATTACTTTCCATAATCACATAACTTTTTCATAAATTTTTCTTAAAAAAAAAAACCAGTATTTCTCGACAAACTTTTATAAACTTGTAATAATAATTTTTATTTATTATAATTTACATATTATTCAAAAAAATTCATAATTATATTAAAAGAAATTCATGTTAATCAATACAATGAAAATTTTATTTTGATTCGATTCATTCACTTTCTTTAGTTTTACTTTTCAGTTTCTTCTATTAATTTTCATCTCATCTTTTATAAAAATAAAAAATTAATTAATTAATCAAATGGAATTCCATTTTACCCATTTTTTATATTTTTAGAAAGATGACACTCTCTCTCTATATCTATATAATGTTTATTAAAATATTTGTTTCAATTTGAATCAAGTGAGACGGACCAACTAGATGCACCAAACGTTGTGAAAGCAACAAATAAACTTTTAGATATTAATAATAATATTATTATAATAATAACTTTGTGGATAGTGGGTCCCATCAAATTCTCTTCGATTCACCTTCTTTGTCACTACTGTTTTTCCACTTGCATCACACTTTTAATTAAAAATTATTAAATAACATGAATTTATGATTTGGATGCATTACCCGACAACGGCTACTTCCGCACACTCTTTCACTCGTTACATTCTCTCACAAGGAAATTGACAGTGACATGATTTTGAGTGAAGGTCGAATTGTTTTTTTTTTTTTTTTTTTTAGAGTCGTTCAGATATAATTATATTTAGTGTAAAGTCCAAAAAAACCTTGAACTTTACTCTTTCTCTCAAAATCTTCCTAAACTATTTTTGTTACACTTAATCCCTTGAACTATCAATTTTTTTGCAAAAATTATCCATCCCTGAAATTCCGTTAGTTTTCTCCGGCCGATTAGGCGCGTGATGAACACATGCCAGCACTCTATTTTTAAAATGACAAAGCTACACTTATACTATTAAATGTATAAAATCAAAATAAAAGAATCCCAAATTATTGAAACCCTAAAAATCAAGGCTCCCTTCGCCATTTTGGTTTCTCTACCAGCCACACAACCGTCACAAACCAAACCTATACACAGAGAGAAATATTATAACAGAGCTTACTTCGGCAACGTAACAAAGCTTATCTACCAACCAAAGATAAAGAAAGCTTCAACAAACCTCAACAAAACCTTCGTTTCTCTCACTATAAATCAAAGAAATTTCACTTATAAGGGTTTGTAGATCACATACAGTGCTTCAATTTGTGAATCTACAATGCCTTGCAGTTGCAGAGAATCAAAACTGTGAAAATCGGCGATTTGCAAGCTTAAGGTTCGAATAGGCAGAGGCAAGGCTTCAATTGCTGCTGTTGATTTGGGGATTTCACTTTTATAGCCCAAGCAACGATGCCAAAACCCTCTGCAAATTACTACGTGACTATTTCGCGTTTGCCAGGAAGAAACACAGGACACCCAAATGGTTTACAGAGAAATTGGAGGTAAGGATAAGTGTTTACTAATTTGGCCCCAATAAAGTAAGATGGTAGCTTCAATGGATTCTTTTTTGGGTCAACAGTGCGGTGTGGGATGGTGTTGATGAATTCTTTATTTTTGGTCGCCGGTGTTGATGGATTCTCTCTTTTAGGTCACCAATGTGGGGATGCGGATGGTGTTGATGGATTGTTTTTTTGGTAATCACACTTAACTGTGCCAGCTAAAAGGGATAAGATTGGAACTGTTTTCTGCCACTCCAATAAAAATGAAAGTTTTTCGATTAAAACTAGTGAGAGCCTAATCTCAAATTCCATTACCGCCGACGCCGATGCCGATGAGAAGCTCTAAGAATCAACAAGCAGTGAAATTGGTGAGAGCCAACCTCAAACTCCATGATCGCCGGCACTGCGAGCAAACCAGTGAAGTTTCATTCCAGTGAACCACAAACAAACCTTTTTTATGAGCATCATACAGACCCAAGGCGAAACCATTTTGGTCGACAATGTCGTTGACGGTGGGAAAACTAGAGTGTAGAGAGAGAGAGAAAGCCTTGTGTGTAAGGCTGTGTTTGGCGCGCTGAAATGAGTGGTGGTTGGGTGATAAGGATGAGGTAGATAAGGTGTACTGTCATAATTCTATTGGATGGTTAAAATTTGTTTGACACTTAACAATACGGCGTAGTTCCACTAAAGGGTAATATTGTAATTCTCTTTTTTCGGTGCCGGAGACCTCACCTGATGTCCTTAACTACAACTTTATCATAGTTCAGGGAGGCAATTGTTAATTCAAGGGGGTTTTGTGCAATTGGCTGAAAGTTCAGGGGGGTTTTATGCACTTTACCCTTATTTTTAGTATAAAAATTGACTTTGATTAATTAAGAGAAAAAAATATACATAAGTTAATAAATGCTTCACTGATATACTTTCAAAATTACCCTTCATCTTATATTTATATTTATATACATATATAGATTCATGATCTCTTTCTCAATTATGAACAAGAGAATTTATCCATACTTCATATAGGCCCTGTGTGGGGGAGCTTCTTGATTCTAAAATTTCTTCCACTAAATGGACTTTGTAGAATACATTTTGACGGAAGAGATTTAAAACATAAAAGTTGTTTGGTGAGTGCATTTTTTGAAGTTCTTTTAACTACTATTACATTTTAACTTGACAATTTTATCCTTAACGAGTTGAATTGGGATATAACAATAAAAGTGAAAAAGAAAAAAAAAAAAATGGATGATTAAGGGATGGGTGGAAATCACCAATGATGGAGCAATAATTAGTGGTGTCAATTTTTTTCATACTTCAATTGTTGATGCTTTCATTGTCTTTGTTGATGCTTTCAACTTTTCGTACTTCCATTGATGGCTGACGAAATGAAGGTGGAATATAGAATCACAGACTGATCCAACCATAGAAGTTGAAAGAGGAAAAAAAAAATGAAGGGGGGAAAGAAATTAAACATAAAATGAATAAAGTGAGATGGTAGCGAAAGTATCCATACCCAATTTCATTCTTATTTATACCTTTAATAGAACCCTAGTTTTACAATTAAGTGAACGTGATACCTAAAATGATCGAGTAGCCTTTAATATATATATATATGTGACGACCCTGATTTTTATGCCAGCGTGTCCTGTGATGAACCGAAGATTGATCTGATAACGGATCCGTTATGAGGAAGCGAAAACAGAAAACAAGACTCTAAGAAGTCAAAGTGACCTTCCATGAGGTCGTGGAACTCAATGAGAACTGATGCGGGAGCAAAAGATCAAAGATATGATAAATAAGCCCCTAGGGGCAAAATAGTCATTTATGAAAAATATGGATTAGGATGCCACCAAGCACACCGCTGGAAAGACAACAAAAAAATAGTCAGGATGGACTCAAGAATCGCATGATTCAGAGTCCGGACGAAGGAGAAACGGCCTGACGAAGAAAAATGAGCACTTAAGGCTAAAAGGGTAAATTGGTAATTATCCAGGAAGATTCGGGTGCAACTGAGTACATCGTTGGAAAGACAGCGAAAAATTAGTCAAGTTCAAAAAAAATTTCACTAGATTTGGAGTCCGGACGAGGGAGAAACGAGGGTTTGAAATTGAAACGTTGCGGTAGCCCGACGAAGGCCATGGTGCACACGGTGCCCATGCACGAGCCCGCCGGCGCCCAATGGCATGCACCAGCTGACAGCAAGAAAAAAAAGTGAGGTTCCAGAACTGAGGCTTAAAACGGAGGTCGAAACGAATTTTTCTGGAAAAACACGAAGTAGAAACCCCCCCTAAAATCGAGTTATCTACCCGACCTTGTAGACGGAATCGAAAAAAACTCACTGTGAAATCCCCAAAATTCCCCAAGCTCAGAACTGAACAAGAGGGTTAAAGGTTGCTACAATGACTGTCTGCAACTGAGAGCAAAAACGGGCTAGAAGATAAATTTTTATGGAAAAACAAAAAGAAGAAACCCCCCTCAAAATTGAATTTTCTACGTGACTCATGAGAGAATTTAAAAAAAATGCAATATAGAATGCCCGAAATGCCCCTCCATGAAATCTGGTCATGGAGGTCCAAAAAGTTGCTAAAAAAAACAGAAAGCTGAACTTTGCAATCGATTTCCGGCACCAAAATGACATTTTCTGGAAAAACACGAAAAAGAAACCCCCCCTCAAATCACATTTTCTAAGAGACCATGTGAAAACCGGAATTTATTTCTCGAAGGAAGACTCAAGAATGCCCTAAAATCAGATTATGCAACAAAAGTGCAAAATGAATCCATAGGAGGCTCATTTCACCAAAGGAGAAGGTTTGCCCTATAACAACCACGCACGCAAACGTAACTTACCAATTAGGATGTGCTACAATAGTCCACGGCTTAAAAATACCACCTATGCAAAATTTGACCCCCCAACGGCCAAAAAGGCAAAAATGAACTAGAAATGGGAAATTTGAAAACTAAAATTAGGAAATGGTATCAAATGATCGTTTGACCCTTGGCCACACTTCATACAAGATAAATGAGACCTAATGGAGGTGCCGGAACACACTTTGCACCACCCGATTTGAAAATGAACCCTTAAAGGCTCGGATTCTACTATTTAGCCCAAAACTGCAATATGTGAACTAAAATGTAAAAATGAAAACTAAATGGTGTTTGGACCTTGGCCACACCTCACATATGGCAAATGAATGCTAAAGGATGAATTACATACACAATGCACACACCGGTGCGAAAATGACATATTGAAACCCAAGTTTTCATGCTTTTCTCATTAAAGGCAAAATTCTACATTTTTTAATATACATGGATTACAAATGAAGTTTGGCCCTTGGCCACATATTATACACATAGAATGAATACCAAAAAGTGTGCTTAAGCACATAATA